GGCCATAGGTCTACGTTCGTTTGACCGACGAGTTGGGCTAACCGACCGTGATCTACTTCGACTGGGTTGCTTTCTTTGTGGAGGACTAGTATTCCGTGGACTTGGCTGTCGTCGTCTTAGAGGACTACCGGATTGGCGTGACCCAGGTCTGCCTCTACGAGGTGGGCTTTGTCGAGGACTTGAGCGGCCTCTTCTTTGCGGAGGGCTGGCCGACCTGGATCTACTACGAGATGGCTCACGTCTTCTCCGAGGTGGGCTAGGTCGGCGTGGGCTAGATTGACGTTTCCTTTGTGGTGGGCTGGCAGACCGGCCTGGGCTGGGACGTCTCTTAGGACTACCTGATCGGGAACGGCTTGGACTAGCACGACCTTTTCTTTGAGGTGGGCTCGGTGACCGAGATCGACTTGGCTGTCGTTTTCGCTGAGGTGGGGTTCGTGCCCGTCGCGGGCTGGGTCTGTTTCCTCTCCGAACAGGACTGGCAGACCTTGAACTAGAACGTTTAGAACGACGTTTCCGTTCTGATGGACTCTTTGACCGAGACTGACTTGGACTAGGACGACCTGTTCAAAATAATAAAACTTTTGTTTTATACACGATAGCAATATTACAGAATATTACACACATCTATGGTAACGTATATGACTCGTATACGACTAGTCGCAGACGGGCCTTTACAGTTATTCAGCTGTTCTTCAAAAGCTTTGAAAAATGATTTGGGGTGGCGCCAGGTTGCTCCCCTTGCCCCCATCAGTGTCCACCATTGCCCCCAAACCTAACCTGGGGGCCTCATCACAACCAACAAATCCACCACCGTTGCCAGTGTAAAATTTCACCACCATTACCAGTGTGAAATTCCACCACCACTAGCACCAGACATCTTACCTTTTCTTTGGGGTGGACTGGGTGATCTTGGAGGGCTAGATCGACGATTTCTTTGACTATCAGACGGGCGACTTGGTTTTTGGTTTGGACTGGCAGAACGGGGAGGCGGACTCCGCGAAGGACGGCGGCGAGGAGGAGAACGCTCTCTACGCTGGGGGGATCTTCTTGGTGGGGATCTTCTTGGTGGGGATCTTCTTGGTGGGGATCTTCTAGGTGGGGATCTTCTTGGTGAAGATTGTCTTGGCGGGGACCTTGAGACACGGGTCTGTGCTTGAGGGGGGCTGACAGACCGTGAGGCACGACGTTTTTCGCCACCTGGAAGTCAAAAAATGGAAAATATTTTTTCTTTCCAGGTTAACGGTTGTGGGTTCAGCATTAAGGGTGAAAGCATGCTGTAACGGGGGGGGGGGGGGGGGTAATAATTACCTGGACTCTGCTGTCGTTCATTGTCACTGGAATCAGAAGACGAGCTGCTAGGTGATTGTGGTTTCTGCAACATTCTCTGTTTTCGTTGGTAATCTGCCAGCATTGCTTGATAAATCTGATCCTCCGCTTTCATCTTCTTCCCTGGTCTGACAGTCTTCGCCTCGGGAACAGAGGGTTGTCTATCTTCATCTTTCTTCTTCTTGTGTTTCTTCTTAGTTTTGTCTTCTTTTGGTCTTTCCTCCAATGGAGTTTTCCTTCCTTCACCATCTCTGTCGAAACTGAATAAAAAATAATTTCATCCAATAATTAACCAGTCGACTTGAACGCGTTGAGCTGCGTCCTTCGCAATTCAGCTTACCTCTCAGCTGCAAATAAGGAGGATTACCACCCCCCACCCCCCTTCCCACGCTTACTTACCACAAGCGACTGAGAGACAATTTTTACAAAGCTACATATAGACCCATTGCACTGACGTCACAAATCCTTAGAGTGTCCTCCAGATGCTCCCTAACAATATCTGTTTGGATACAACAATTGCTTTGTTTACAAAAGTTATATTATGCATAGATTGCTAATTTGTCCTCCAGATGCATCGTCACCGGCGCTGTGATGTCATGTGCAATGGATCTATTGCAGAAATTTCCAGCAACAGAAAAGCCATATGGAACTTACACTTTCAGCCTACTGCCCCTAGATTAGGTGGACGCCGCTTGAACATACAATACAGTCCAAGTAAAATATTGTATTCATTTAAGGCCTCAGATATACATTGCTCGTGTTCCATTATCATCATGAGATAATATGAGTTGGATTTGGGTCATCATTGGCCAGAAATCAGCCCTAATTGAAGCGCAATATTCTCGTGAATCAAACATATGTTTGTGATGTTGCTCTGAGTGTGTCTACACCGCGGCGGGAATCGAACCCAAAGGTCGCGGGTTCGATTTCCACCACGGTGTGGACATACTCAGAGACAACATCACAACAGAAACGACAAAAACAAAAAATTCGTGAATCAAGCATTCTAGCTAGCAATTCAGGAATCTGCAAAGTTTACGTTTTTCCACAAAATAGATTATGGCGATGCAAAATCACAAGACATTTAAACATTACTACCTTCGTTGTTTCTTATTTTCATTTTCTCTTTCCTCCACGTAGCGATCTCTCTGCCTTGAAGACGTCTGTTCCAGGGAAGCAGAACGAGAACGCCTTTTGTCTTTACTAAAATAAAAATATTAACATTAAATATGTCTCGTGTAATATTATGGCAAGCAGCCTACAATATACATATCGTTAAACGTTATTCATTATTTCTTACTCCCGTTTCGGCGACCTTTCCCTTTTCCCATTACGTTCAACAGAAGCTTGTCTATCTGAGTCCGAACTACAAGGAATAAAAAAGACATATGTTCGTTAGTAAAACATAAAAACATCTCCAACTATGTACTATATCAGCTAGTATTTTTGCTGGTTCCGTTGTTGATAGGATTCTTAAGGTCCTGTTCGGGTACCTGACAGACCGATCTCTCTTCGCACGTTTTTCTTTGGCCTTCTTTCTTTTTCTCTTTTCTCGATCACTACAAAATAATGAATACATTGTCAATTATCAATACATTGCAACTGCAGCGCTGTACTTTACAATGTATATATATTTATTACTCATATTTCATTGCTACATGGTACAGTGCGCGATTACCCTGAAATTAAGGTGCATATGGCGCAAAAAATCTTATTGTGTTAAGGCAAGAACTGCTTTTAAATTTTGTTTTTAGAGCTGAGAAAGTAGTAATAATTGATTCTACCTTTTTAGTTTTTTAGATACTTAATGCCTTAGGCACATTTGTCATACATTAATAGTAACTAAGGATATACTGCAAAAAATCCCTCAGTATTTTGACTCAAAACTCGAGTAAAATAATGCACTCACAAATTTTGATTAAATTCATGACCTACTCAATTTTACTTCACTAAAAAAATATGAGTAAACTTGCTCACAAATTTGAGTAATTTTACTCAATATTATTCTAATCAAGTTTTTGTATCAAAATTTAAGAGTGTAGGATTATGGTAAAACATAAAAGAACGTATTTTGCTTCATTTTTAAAACGTTTTTAGTATGTTGGTATCAGCATTCTATTATTGACATGCTGACAAAGTTACCCTAAATAAATTTAAAGGTTATTCACTAATCAATAATTTACCTGATACCAATAATCTGAAAAGAGAATATAACAAAGAAACATAAAATAAACAAAAACTATATTATAGCACATGCAAATTTCACCAGATTACAAGAGCTTGCAGTGTTTATGCACACTGAATCTCTCCGTTACCTTTCAGAACCACTGCTAGAGTTGCTTTCAGAAATATTCTTCTCTGCTTTCCTCTTTTTCGATTTCTTAGATTTGCTAAAGGAAAATATTATCCGGTCAAGCAACATTGAAAGACATCTAAGGGAAGCCCCACATATCGATTTTTCCATGACAAACGTCATATGTTCATTTGGGGATGGGGACGTTCCTCTGTAAACATCATGGAAAAATTTGATAGATTTTTCGAAAGCCTTAACATTTCAGAATCATCTTTGCAGAATATAAAAAAGAAAACAACTTGATACAAACACCAGTCTATACATTTGTAATACCATACATGTTCTATACGTATACATTTATATTATTACGCCTTCCTTGCATTGAAAACACTCAAATTTCAAGAAAAACGTGCTAAAATTATTAATATTTCATGCAAAAAAAGTTGTTTTGAGAAATGTTGTAAATTTTGAAGTTCATATATTAATTAAATAAAATGATATATCTGCAGAAGATGACATATTCCTTGCGGAAGCTTCGCCAATAGCTGACCGTAGAAAATAATAGAAAATTACCTTATGTGTACTATAAGAACAAAATATCGATAACTATGTGTGACGTTTCTAAGGGAGGGTTGGGGGTGGGTCTCCAGAGAAAGGTCCATATGACATTTCTTATGGACAAAATCGATATGCGAGGCTTCCCTAAATGCATAGTCTATAAAGTCTGAAAACTAAATAGAAGTTTATGTTATTTATATACTTAACACTTATTTTCTGGAACCAAGAAACAGAACTGTTTCCAAAAATCCCAGTGACCCAGTCAATAAATATTTTATTTTATTATTATTCTATACCAAGTGTCAATGATTGAAAGAAAACAAAAACAATCGGTAAAATTCCATAATTTTTGTTTTATAACTCAGCAATAAATTTTTGCTTTATAATTTTATTATTCACCGGTGAATAAAAGTAATGTTCTCTGCTCACAGCTGTTGCCAGTAGAGTAGAATTTCATGAATTTCACGCTATATGCAAATGTTTAAAACATGAATTTTGACACTTGGTATATAATCAAAAATTTTACACTTAGGCATACAGTATCGATATGAGACAATTATATAAAATAGATAAAAAACGAGGTGAATTTTAAGCTTACCTGGTGATATTAAAAAATAATGCCAAGAAACAATGTACCTACACAGTGTCTATAACTATTGCTGGGAAATAGAAAAATGCATAATTTAGCTTGAAGCAGAAAATAATCTTTACAGTCCTACTGAATCTTAAGCTTTTTACTTTGTTAACTGTCTACTAAGTTTACTTGAAAGTCATTTTGTGGCAGTCATGTTGTGCTGTCCAAATATTCAGCAAACATGTGCGTTGCCTGCTTGTAGTTAACAAAACCGTACTGGTTTTCCTGGTCCGTAACCCCAGGTCCGTAACATAACTGGAACTTGTCCTCAAACATAAAAATTTTATAAAATACCTTAAATGGCAGTTTAATAAAAATTTCTAGACTTATTTCAGTGTATACACGTGAAAAAGTATACACCAGTAACTCATCATCAGTAGTTTTAGCAGGAAGGCTTTGTGCGCAGATTTTTCATTATCGCATACAAAAAAACAAATTTGCAAGATGCAATAGCGATGCTACCTCTAGTTGTTTTGGATCAAGCCTGGATCAACCCCAAACATCAGTTAAATATTCATCTGAGTAATACTGTTAGACTAAGCTATACATTTTTCTATTTCTACTGCACAGCAATAGTTGCAGCAGACACTATTCACACACTTAATTTCAATTTCATAAATTTTGAAATCCTGTTTTTTTCAGATGGTTTTTACCCTGAACCACTCAGCGCTGCAAATAATTGTTTACGACCTGCCGGTCAAACAGCCAATCATGCAGACCATATAATTACAAAAGGTGGTCAGGGTTCGTATATTGCCGGTCGTTGACCGGCAGTTATTTGCAGCACTGACCACCTCACCCTAATTCGGATTATACTTTTTAGTTCTTTTTTTTTTAATAATCGCTGTTAAATCTTGAGTCCTGTACAAAAAGCATGAACTGATACACTGAAACTTTTTTTCCAAATCCTTACTATGAAAATAGTATGGATCTTCGTTGGAGACAGTATAGAAATCCAATTTTCATAATAATTGCAATTTCTATATGGATTTCTAGTATGGATTTATTGATGCAATTGCAGATCCACAGTGCTGATTTCACCTTTTCTCCAGTGATATTCTGTGCAGTATGTGAAAAAAATCGACAAGATATAAAATAAAGTTCATTCACCTTGACTCGTACTTTTTCGCTTCCTTTTCCTTAGCTTCCCTTTCCTTGATGCGTTCAATTGCCTGCAGTTCTTGATTAAATGCCGTCCCTCCTTTGTAGTCATCCTTGATCCCAAATGCTTCTTTAAACTTTGCATTCTTCTCTTCATTTGCTTGAGCAATTTGATGAGTCTCTGTCAAACTGGAAAAGAAGCTACACTAAGCATTTTCCTCCCAATAACAGCTGCACTTGTCAGATGATTTTTGGTACAAGGAAAACAACGTTAAAGGGCAAATTAACAAAGAGCATTGCGAATTTTTTGTTTCTGGCATTAGTGGGGTATGTGGGTAGAAAATACAAGTACTTACACAGTCTTTTTGCTACTTTCTTTTTCATCATTGAAGCCTCCTTCTTCCATTAATTTTTCTCTCAATTTTGCCATTTCACTGTCAATTTCAGTTTGAGAAAACCTGCCATGCAAATATACAAGTAGCATTAACTAGACCTGTGCAAACCAGGCTTTTAGCCAGAAGGGCGTCCTGTGACATCCCTAGAACGAAAAATGGACGCCTTTGGACACCCAAATTCTGGGGGAAACGGGAAATTATTTTCAATGATTTCCCTAGGTATATTAATTATATCTGAAACGAAATAGCTTCAATTCTCATTATTATTATACATATGACATTTTGATCAATTTAATGGTATACCTGGCTGAATGAAAATGTCGTAGTTAAGTAAAGAAGCATAGCAGCACAAACTCACCAAGCCAAGTGTGTTTGAAAAATTTCGAACAAGCTTGGAACAGATACCGACATGAAGTAACACAAACTTCACAGGTTTTCCAGAGGAATGTTTTCTCGAACCCCCCCCCCCTTGTGGGTTGTCAGAGTACAAATTGGCAGTTCACAATACTACGTTGTCGTAAGTGAATTGTGTACAACTCAAGTTGTAAGAAAGTTGCATGCCGACAGCTTTGGGCAAAAGTTGTGTGCTCTAAATCGCCCTTAATGGCTTTTAGTAGATGAAATTTTGGAACAAGAATTTGTATACATTTCCAGACCTTAAACCTCCTGCAGCTGACAGGGCCGCAGGTTCAATTCCAGCCAGAAGCCCTACGGTGGCATTTTTTTCACAGACACTCCAATTAGGTCTAAAATTCATCTACTAAAATCTCAATAGATATATACATCTAGCTACCTCCGCAGAGGCTTTATTTGGCTATGATTACTCCGCTCATGTTGCAAGATCCACCATGTAAAGTGTAGTGAAATGTATCTCAATACTAATCGTAATCATAGCCAACAGAAGCCTCTGCGGAGGAGAGAATCTAGCTACAAAATACCCCATTTTGAAAGAATGAAATTAGTCGACACGTGAGTCAAATACGAGTGAATGGTCGGACCACATGACTCACCCCTGCTCTTCCAAAGTGTCTTCCAGTTTCGTACATTCCACTTCAATCTGTCGCTTCCTCTCATGTTCCAGTATCTCTTTATTCGGTTTCTTTGTCATTGTCTGTTCAAACTTCGCCAAATCCACCTCAGGCTTGTAGCTCACTCGCTCCTTCTGGTTCGCCACAAACGACAAATTTCGAGTGACGTATCCGTTTGTGCCCGAACCTCGCGGCGTCGTAAGGCCAATGTTATTGTACATGGCTTCCTCTTTTCAAAATAAGCTTGTATTTATGTAGTTTTAGCAGAAAAAACACGACTATTACATATTTCGTTGGAAAGAAACGCACTTCAAAATTTCAAGCTTTTCCAACATGGTTGCTAATACAAAACCTTCCCGTAGTTCTTTGCGGTCCACTGCTTCGAATTTTCTCCCACTGATCTCAAAATGTTAATGGAGAAAGATTTTATGTGAATCAATAGAATATGGTCAGGAAATTCGATATAAATCACATAATAAACCTCATTATTACGTTTTTGTCTTGGTTTATGCAAAAAATGTTTGGTTCACGTCACGCGTGTATTGTTTTCCCGCCCAGCAAACCAATATAGTACACAATGGCTAAATGAAAACATGGTTATATTGCATGGTTGCTCTAGTGAAAGTATATTCACACGTGACGATGAACAGACCATTTCTTGCACAAACCAAGACAAAGGTCTAATGAGGTCTATTATGACTGCATCGAGTTTGTACTGCTTGTCTATAAATCATACCTACAATACCGAAGAAACATGTACCTTCAATACCATTACAGACATTCAAACAACAACTATATAAAACATCCATTCAAAGCGAAAAGTGACTTCACACCACCACAACCAGACAATGCTAACCTTTTGGAAAGATGTCAACAAGTTTGGAACAAGTTGTTAACACCTTGTAACGATCTTGTTGCTATATTATCAGATTTGTTGCAAGGTTGTTCCAACAAAATCCGATAAAGTCATGACATAACAATATTGTTACAACCTTGAGGCGTTAACCTTGTAACATTCTTGTTATATCATGACTGTATCAGACTTGTTAGAACAACCTTGTAACAAGTCTGATAATGTTATCAAGATTGTTACAAGTTGTTAACAGCTTGTTCCAAACTTGTTATAACAACTAGGAACAAGCAGTGCGAACACAACCACACCTCGTGAACAGATTTGTAACAACTTGTTTGCAGACCTGTAACAACTTGTGCGTTTTTACGTGTGCTAGTGAATTGGTTTACTTCCACTAAGGTAAGCGCCTTCATATATTCATAGATGTCATATATACATTTCTCTATTTTAATTTATCTAAAACACTATATAGTACTATTGGTTTTATCATATGGCAGCTCGCTTGGTTGTGGCATGTTTGAATTCAGGACGTTCGTCAAAGCTGAGCAATATGCCTAAATCAACAAAAATAAAAACGGAAAATTAATCTTACGACGAAAAATGGCTTGTTGAAATGCAAAAATTCGTCCAATGACATCATATTCGGAAACTTCTATACTACTAGAGTGAAAAAGTTGATCAATATATGAGGTTTTTACTATAAAGATATATTATATTTCTTCCAAGAATGACCCACATACCTCATATTTAGCTTTCTCTAAGATTGGGCTGGAAACTATAAAAATATAGATTACTAGCTTAAATATTAGTCGCAAAGATTATACAGGAAACATTGGACTAGTTGGTTTAAAGGATTGGTGTCAACACCACAGTGAAATTAATATAACGCTATTTTCAGATAAACTGCCTATCTTTTTCTTAAAACCAAATCTGCATGACCTCCAGACACGCATGTCTGGGGACTGGGGGTCAACACCCGCGTGTCTAACCCTTTCTCTAATCCAAACCCTGTACCTTTAGCTAGAAGTGTTTTCGAACTAAATATTCCAACAACATATACTGGAGTTTCTGTATGTCTGCCACTTGAACTGATCAATCTTGAAAAAAAAAAAATGTATAGGTAAACTTACGTTTCCTCCCCCTCCAGCCCTCAGAAATATTGATATTCGTCTTGAAATATACCTTGCAACAGGATTCTCTTTTCGTTGTTGTTGAAGCAGCGCAGCCAATGACATCTCAGGATTCTTAAACCTGATTATAGACTCCAATTCTTCGCCGTATAACTGAACGATCAAGAAATCACGAACAAATGAACCTGCCTCTCTCGATCCCTAGAAAACGAAAGCTCTGTTAAGAAATTGTACGATTTTATGATTATGACAGTTTTTGTGTTGACCGTTTTTGTTTGACCAGTTGGTCAGAGCACTGCACCGGAATCACAGGGCTGCAGGTTCAATTCCTGCCAGAGGGCTTATGGTTGAATTTTTCGCAGCTGTTCCTGGCTAGGGCTAATAAATGTATATAAATTTCCACTCTATAATTTCCATCAACAAAATCCTTCAACATTATAAGTTCAATCGAGCCCAGAAATTCTGATATTGGTTCATATGTATATATAGGCATGATGCTTGTGATATTACCCTGAGTGTATATCCACACCGCGGGCAAGCTTGAAAAATATGCCTGACCACGGTGGGAATCGAACCTACGACCTTTGGAATACTAACCCAATGCTCTGTCAACTGAGCTACGCGGTGTGGATATACACTCAGAGTAACATCACAAGCATCATATTCACCTGAGTACATTACACACAGAAAAAAATGTATAGGCACGTTACTCGTATTCTCACTCATTTTTAATTCAAAGTTGGAAAGCCTGCGTTAACGCAATATATACTAAGAAATGTACAGAAAATATATAGGTTGTACCTCGTGAAGATGGATTGCTCCAATTAGAGCGAGAAATGAATCTGCTATTATATCGTCTTTAGTAAGGCCATTCTCTGATATTTCTTCCAAACTTTCTAAATCGAACTTAAAATAAAAACACAGACGTATATACTGTCTAACTTATCTAATCATTAATTATTTATTTGTTTAATACAGCCCAGACTATTTTATCTTTACAACAATAGATCTTTCCCCTTATAACCAAAATTTTGATCTAGGCAAGTCTAGACAAATATTTCATCACAGCTTGAAAGAGCATCACAAAATTAGTAATATTCCAACGTTTCGTTGCAAAATGTTGTAAAATGAGGAAAATAGAGCCTTTGCAGTTTTCAGTCATTTTGCATTACAAACGGGAAATTGCAGCCCCAACACCCGAATCGGATGTCAATTTCCCGTTTGTAATACAAAATGACTGAAGAACGGCAAACTTCGCAAGGCTATATTATCCGCATTTTACAAGATTTTGCAACGAAACTTTGGAATATTACTAATTTTGTGATGCTCTTTCAAACTGTGATGAAATTTTTGTCTAGATCGAAATTTTAGTAATGAGGGGAAAGGCCCATTGTGATGTTACTTTCTTAACTATTTTTATCCTAACCCACCCTGTCAACTTTCCCTGTGGGAAGAAACCGGAGCACCCGGAGGAAACCCACAACTTTTGGCAGAGTATTGACTGTCTCATTTCATTTTCATCTATAGCGATAATTGAGTCCACGAACTCAGAGGTGAAAGGCGCTTGCTTTGACGACTGCACCAAAGAAACCTCAATAGTTGTCAACCAAAAGCAGCCAGACGTTTGCCAAAACTGTTCTACATGCATAGCAGCAATACTGTCAGGTAAGGAAATTTAAGCCAGTCCCGATCACTTACTTTTGTTTGAATTAATTCCGGAATAGACAATGATCTAGCAACATTTACTAATGTTTTTTGACTCAGTAAATGTTCTTGCAGACTCCTATAAAACAGAAAAGGTCCAATTATTATATACAACACAATGTACAAGTCGATTTAAGTATTACATACCTCATTCCGTAACTTCATTACGTACCTCATTCCGTAACTTGGAAAATTGGCATAAGATAGAAATAAGAATGAACTTATGATTTGGGAGGAAACATTAAATCCTAAAAACAAAATGTTGCAAAAAGTTAGGGAGAATCTAAAGGCCCGTTCACACTTGCGATTTTTGCTGCGATTTTCTTCTACTGAAGGTTGTGAACTAGTGGATGCGTAGCCTGCGAACAGGCTCTCAAGCTGAATTGAGAGCCTGCATCAATGACTAATGAATTTGAATATCTGCGTCTCAAATCGTGACGCAAAATTCTCATTGGTCAGATGCTATAATTTATATTATTCCGCTGAGCTCTATATATGTCAACTGCTGAAGCACTACGCATAAAAAAAAACACATTAACTGATCAAATTGGTCTTGGCCATCTTATCTCAAAGCACAAATGTTCTGTTTTGAGAAAACAGTATTTAAAACATTTAAACTTTTGCTTGAATATCTTATATTTCGAAAAACAGTATAAACTGTACGGTCTAAATTTAGTTTGCATGGTCTAAATTTAGTTTGCACGAAAGTTGTAAACAACACCATATAAGGATAGACATTCCATATTTAGAAAAACGAACGTTACGGGGCAGATATTCAAATTCATTAGTCATCGATGCAGGCTCTCAATTCAGCTTGAGAGCCTGTTCGCAGGCTAGTGGATGCGCTATGAATGTTCAGGGTACTCGTTCACATGCGTCTGAAGAAGAAAACACGCTAGAAATCACAGCAAAATTGAAAACTTTAATTCGCCTCTTTTAGCTTACCTAAAACTGCTAGTTTACCATTGTGCTCAACTGAATCATTTTCATTCAGAAAACTTCTGTGTGTTAAAGCTTGCCTCAGTAAACTGCTATCAGGGGCGAGGCCAAGTCGATGAGCAAATGCAGCCAGTTCTTTGTCATAGTTTGCACTAATAAACCGTTTATAATCAAACTTTCTGAAATATTGAAAATACAAGTGAGATAATGTTAGATTCTTTATACACTGGTTTTATATACACAAAAAAGTTATTCGCCTAGTACATGTAAATAATTATTACAACTTTTGTATGTTTGTGGTGAATGTGATACATTTGGTCGTGAATTGGTTAACAAAGAAAGAGATTGACAAGGATCTATACTGATCAAACATTCTCTGATCAAAGAAGTTCTGATTGATATGATAGTAGACAGATTTAGATTGACGACGCGGACATCAAAGACGACATGAAAATGGCATGTTGTGCCCATGTATGGATATGCCACGCCATTTTCATGTTGTCTTTGGCGTCCGCATCCTCGATCTAAATCTGTCTAGTGTAAAAAGCCTGCCGCACACAAAAAAAACTTGCTGAGATTGGTGGTTAGCTCAGCTATGCATTTTTACCGCATACATTGGGAAAACTGCTCAACAGCTAGTTCGTGGATAAGATCTTTTGCATTTCCCTCCATTGTGAAGAAATTATGGGTTCTCATTGGTGGCTAGCTCATCACTAAGCTCGCAAAATCCGCAGACGTTGAGATTTTCTCCCTTGAAATATTGGTGTGATCAAGGACAAATGTTGTCATATATCTCCAGCATATAGTTTACATGGAATGCACCTAGGTTTCTAATAGATTACCTCGGACTTTGTTGTTTTATTTC